TTTCAAAAAACTGCTGCTGGAAGCTTTAAAATTGTTGTGGAAAGAGATTTTACGGTGGCTTCTTGTTCAGGCTGATGACAGCACACTACCTAGTGATTTGTATCATGAGAGAAAAGAAACAGAGTGGTACAACCGAGATTTGATGTAGCAGTACCCTTGTGATTTTCAAGCAATCATATACAAGTATTTGAAGTACACGATGAGAACAGAAAGAGCAGGAACTGAAGCATCATTTAGCATGAAACTCAGAATATGCATTGGCTACATATAAATCAGTTTGGAGAGCTTTAAAATGCTATCAGCCTTTTGTATGACTGAATTATAGGTATCTCTGTGACTACACATCTGCACACTCTCACGTAAACAGGGTTTACTGAAAGAATTGAGTCAGCCTCTGCATCACTGATTAGCAGCGTCTGAGGTAAAGAAATAACAGAGTGACGTTCTATGATCAGGCTTGACAGTGATGTGCTCACAGCCCTGTTCCTTAAGTTCCAGTATGGCACACGCACTACTGATTAAACAGCCAACACAAACCAAAAGAACAAGATGATAGAATCAGTGCTGCCCTGGCAAAACAGAGTCTCTTTGGGTGATCAGATACATTTTTGAAGCAAAGTATTTAGAAAATAAACCATCTAAAATATCCTCAAACTTTACAGTTTTAAATGATTCAGTTTCAGTAATTTTTAGCATCGTGTATGCATGATCATGTACTTACTGGTATAAAAGGTTCCAGAAAATGCACAATGGCACATTTCAAATGAAATGCTACTTAATTCCCTGCTGGTATGCGCTTCTTGGCATGAACTTGCTCAGTGCTAAAATAAATCTAGTCTTGTGTCAATGGATTTAACACTTTCAATGCACAACATACAGAGGAGACTAGTTTTTCTTTATTTCTCTTTTTTGAGGTTGAGTTGTGGTTGATTACATGAGTTGAATTAACATTAGTTAGTGGCTCTGCTGGCATCTCTGGACCAGTCTACACATTAACCTGTTGTTGGATTTGACGTCCTGCTGTGTGTTAAGGAAGTTCAGCACACTGAATATAAGGCTCTGCTAAGTCAACAAGCTACAGACCCTGCTGCTCTCAACAGTCGTAACAATTCAACAGTACTAAATTCAAACAGTATGCACCACAAAAGCAGAAAAAAGCTTGAAAACACAGGGTAATTTGATATATGCTTGCACTGGTATCCAAGGAGAGCTCAGAGCCTATGAGTTGATCCTTGAAGAACTTTGCTGATAACCTTCTTGCTATCTGCAAATTCCCCGTGCTTTCTTCATCTCAAAATTTCTTTTCCTTATCTACTTCTTTCTATTATTTTCTATATAATGCCGACATCATATACTTTACTGAAGTCACAGTAGCACAATCTGACTTTTGCATATGTAAGAACTTCTGAACCTTGCCTTCTATTCAGATTGGACTGACAAGTCCTTCCCATACTACGAACCATAAATCTGGACAAAATGTTCTGCTATTTGTACTATGAATTGGCATGGTAGCACAGAACAGAAAAGTCCTCCCGAATGATAGGGCCTAGTTCCCTGCCACTACAGAAAGCTCTGTTGTACAATCACCTCATAAATTTATCAAGTGCCATATTAAAAACAGGTATATTTTTGGTCCCACTAATTCCACAGAAAAGCTGTTTCAGAATTTGATTGCTGTAATGACTAGAAACATTCTTCTCATTTCCTGATATATTTATTAATAATAGTACATATCTGTTTGTTCATCAACATTGCCCCACAAATTACATGGTTTTCATCTTTCATGTTTACTTTCCTGATATTTATAGACAGCACTCATATCTCCTCTTGGTTTTATTGATGTAAACAAGCTGAGGCATCCTAAAATCTGTTTGTACAAAAGGTTCTCAAGCTCTCTGGTCATGTGCCTAACCTTCCTCTACCCCTCTTTCAGTTCAACCTTAGCTGAGCTATAGAACAATTAATTAGAAGTTTTCACGGTACTCCAATGAGATTTCACCAGGGCCTTAAATGACATTAATACCTCCCTTCTATCTCCTGAGATACTCTCTGTACTTTTGATGATTCCTAAGTATATATCATTACCAGATTTCATCAGTATGCTCTTACTGATTTTATCAGGGCTACTACAAAAAATATCAAGACCATGCTAAAACCAACCCTTTAAGCCTGACATCTTCCTTTTCAATCTTATTTGTGGCTATCTCACTTCACAATTTCTCTCCTAACCCCCATATTCTCATTCCTTCCCAGGTGATACCATATCAAATGTTTTATCAATAGGGTATTAACATGGCAAATTTGAGTTTTTCCAAAGCTTTGCATGAGATTGAGACCAGGCTTCAGCATCTGTGGTTGGCCAGGTCACTTTTATTCTTTTCAAAGGTAAGCAATTACAGCCCAGGTTCAGCCCACCTTACTTCAAAGACTTAACAGAGAGAGACGGGGATCCACAGGGAGCTATTCATGATGTGTCTTGTCCCCTGGAGACACCTCTCACCACCGAGTATAGAGGGAGTCTCAGCCAACAAGCCTCTCATATAGGACCCCTCTGCTAAATGCCTCAAGTACAAACAAGGCCAGACCCACGCCTGCTATTTTCCAGTCATCTTATAACATTCTCAACAGATCTGTTCAAAACATTTGCTGCTAGATTTTATGTATCACCTGTTTCAGAACTGCAGATGTAGTCCTCATGACGTGAAAGTATGACATGGAGTTTTGCATTTTTTGCTGTTGTAATAATTTCTGTTCTGCATGATCCATCTTGCCTTTCTCCACGTGGTGAAATTACTTTGGCACTAAGGAAAGGCAGACTTTGAATTTGGGGGATTTAACTTAGGCTCACTAGACAACAGTCACATCTTCTCCTGCTCTCCCATTTGTATCACTAAAAAATCTTCTGCTCTAAAACTTCTGTAACAGTGTGATACAAGCATGTCCAGTTGGTAGAAACTAGAAGTATTTTAGCTGACAGAGAATATGTAGTTGATTGGTAAAAATAACACAGAACAGCAGAAAAAGCGGGTCAGTAATAGTCAACAGAGTGAAAAGCTTTTGAATGTATTTTTTCCGTACATGTAGGTGGAAAGAAAGGGTTCATAAAGGGGACTAAGACCTTCTAAAATACTACTAAAAACTCCCATGGAACATGACACTTCAAGACAAAAGGAAAAAAAAAATAATTGTACTGTAGTACCTTGTAAAATTGTATTCAATTGAAGTGTGCTATTATTTTATTCATTCATCAAGATCATCAAAATCCATCAGGAATAATCATTCTGAATGACAGCCACACTGCTTCTGTACCTTCTTCTGAATAACACAGTTGCAAAATAAACAGTTTGCTTTTTTAAGTCAGCGAAGTGTGGGTCAGCTGAAAAGCGCAGGATTAGGAATTTGGATTTTTTATTCATTCTTCCCTGATTTCTTTTAAAAATATTTTTTTCCTAATTTATGTCTAAAATTTTAGCAAATTGAAGATTCCTTTACTCTAATTAACTGATGACTATGTAGAACTATGTTATGTAGAACTATGTACAGGTAAGTTTTTTAAATGCAGGTATTGGCCTAACTTTTATAGTGTACAAAATAAAGCAAAATTACAGCAAACATAAAGCCCAAATGATAATTCGCAGACGAATCTAACTATGTAACTACTATTTTGCATGTATTTTGTAAATCCAGTTCCCAAATCTGGTGTCTTAGGCCATGAAGCAACTAAGAAACAAAACTAACAAACAACTAATGAAACCGAATTTACATTCTTAAAACAGCATTGGACAGCACTGACATGTTGTGGTACATCCTGGGTACTGCTTAAACGGTCTGTTGGGCCATTTAGCATGTATATGGCACACCACTGTTTTTGGGGGGGTGGGGGTGTATTATTATGTAACAGATAAAAATCTGTTGTTGAACTATTTTTAGTATTAAATTACTGTAATGATTCTCCTCAGGTAGCTAACAACTGCAACTGAGAATGTATGACCTTACGGAAACGCTGTAAGAGAGAATAGAAGAGCATTTACTTTTTCATGAGGATTTGTGCTTTAAGAAAAAAAAACAACAACCCACTGAAAATATGCTCATGTCTGAAAAATACTTATCTACAAAACAGACTTGTGAAAGAACTCACTCGTGGACATTTTTCACCAGTTTTACCCTTCTGAGCTCACTAATGTAACGGTTTACAAAATAATTTCTCATTTGTGACCATTTAAGAAATACAAAGCGCCGTAAGCCTCATCAAAGCCAGGTGCTTTCAACAGGGGCATCCTTGCCCTGAAAATCAGTATCGTTGAAAGGTCAGGTTCCAATTTCCTGAGGGAGAGCGCGTTAGCAATACGAGCAACAGGCCTCAGAGGGTCCACCTGCACGGGCAAAGCCAACAGTAGATGCCGCATCTCGTCGGCACGCAGCTCCCAGGGAGAACGCGCTGCTGGAGATGGCGGATCCTGCCCGACACCTCGCCGCTCCGGCAGCTGGGGCCCGGCTCTCCCCTCAGGCGTGCCCACGCCTGCCCGCACCTCGGCGTGAGGTGCTTCGGGGGCCAGGGCGGACTGGAGCGAGGAGCTGACACGTTGCAGCAAACCAGGCCTGTCCCCTGCAGAGACGGCGGCTCCGCGGGGACCGGCCCGGCGGGGACGGGGCCCGGCGAGGGGCCGCGCGGCCGAGGGCGGGAAGGCCG